TTCAGCAGGGTCTCAGGAGGGGGAAGGTGGACAGTACACATCACATTCAATTCCTTCCACTGAAATCGGTCTTTGCTCACACAAGTTGCTGAGTGTGGACTTTAAAAAAAAAATACATCTTACCACTCTGGCTTTCTGTAAAGTGACTATTGCTTTTTTAGAAACCAAACAAACCACACCATACGTATCCCTGAAGATTGCTGCTTCCACAGCAGCGTTCACATACTCAGTATTGTGCAATTGGATTCAAGTGCTAAGAAATCTACAGCTTGGAGGGCAGGGGACCTTCCCACTTTAGAGATGAGGAAACTGAGGCACACAGGTAACTTGACTAAGGTGTATTGCCCAGCCGAAAGAGCATCAGCCTCCGCCTCCCGAGGCTTCAGTTGCCAGCGTATCTTACATCTGCACTGCCCGTGGCAGAGGAGGGGTTCTGAACAGACTGGGAAGCGTGGACTAAGAGTTTCTTCTGCAGCTCAGACAAGAGACTTATTTACATACCACATCGAACGGATTGTCTCAAAAACTCAACTCCCGGCAAATTGTCCTGCACACAAGAAACAAGGCTGCTCAGGTCTCACCTTGCAGTGGAATATTGCTACTCTTGACAATAGATTAGGCTACAGTGAACACGAAACACCAAATTAGTCTACTAGAACATCATTCACTTATAAGGCTACAGAAGTGACACATTTTGTTGGCAGAACTGCTAACAGATGGGCCGTTGTTTTCCAGCTTCCTCCAGCTTCTGGGAGAGAAGCTGCCTGGTGTTTTCTTTCTCGGAGCGGTCTCTGGTGCAAGCAGCGCCACTGAGGTATAGCTTGAGAAAGCTGGCGCAGATATTTTTAATTTCCAGGGAAAGGCCTGCGTTCTGTCAAAGGTGAGTGCTTCCTTAGGCATGTGGGCCCTGAGTTCCTTTGGAAGCCGATTTCTGCTTCTGCCTCTCTTTGTCCTCTAACTCAAACCCAGAGCAGCAGATAGATCTGCCCGGGGGATACCGGCCACAGCATTTTCTCATCTCCTGGAGGACGGCTTCACATTTGGACTCCATGTAATTGTTGGCTAGAAAAAGTAAAAGTGGGAAGAGGGCAGGCGGTGAATGAAATGCAAAAGACTGCTGGGTGCAACGGCTCCGCAGGCTGCATTTTAAGATCTATTTTCTGTTTTTTGTACTTGCATCCTGCTTTTCTCCACGACGGGGATCCAGAGTGGCTTACACCATCCTTTTCCCATTCCATTTTATCCTTACAACTACCCCCCCCCCCAATAGCAGGTTAATGTGAAAGGGAGTGGCTAATCCAAAGTCACTCAGCTCTCTTCCACAGCCGAGGAAGGATTTGAACCTGGGTCTTCCAGAACCTGGTCTGACACTCTAACCGCAGCCCCAGATCTTCTCTGTGCTGCTGCCATAGCTGATTCCTCAACCTCCTTCCCACATTTCATGATTGCAGGAGGAGCTGCTCCACGCACACTGCCCCCTTCCTGACTGTTCAAAGCCCGCTCCCAAGTGCAAGCACGATCCCTGTAGCCCAGCAGAAGCAGGCCAGAGAGTTTGTCTTCTCTGCTCCTGACGTTTCAGAAGAGCCTGGACATGTCGCCTCAACCCGTTCTCTCCCTGTCAGTCTCTCAGCTAAACGATTCAGAGGTCAGAATCACTTGCCAGTCGGTCAAGCTCTCCGCGGGTAGGAAGAGCCGGTGTTTGCACTGGCTTTTCAGGGCTCGCTCTTCCAATTGCAAGTCATTTGCCAGCATGACATCCTGCAAATGGAAATTCTGACCTTCCATGTGACTCACAATGTACTCCTACCTGTTGCCTCTTGGCAACCGAGAACCTGACTCTCTCTGGAGTTTCAGAGTGTTCAAGTTTCAGGCAAACACGGCTAAGGCCTTGAGAAACTTCCTCCACAGCTCTCTGCCTGCAGGGTATCGGAGCTGTCACAGTGGCTCTCCAAAGGGAGGTGACTGCTGCCACCTGCCACGAAATGGCCCCAATTTACTTTCTCCACTACATCCCTAGTGGATGTAGGAGGGTTCCAGGTGCTTGCAAACAAAGGCAAAAGACTACAGTCCTAAACTTGAGCGTTGTTCCTTCAACAACACCTTACTTTGAAGTCATCTTTGTTCACTCTTGCCGTTTCACCGCAAGAACAAACAAAACCTTGCATTGACGGAGGAGAATGGGTTAAACTGAAGCACAGCCAAAGGATACCACAGCATACCTTGCAAACATTTCTGGATTTCGCAGGCTTGTTTCTGGCAGGGGTCTTTCTGAGGCATGTCAAGAACTAAAACGACAGGGGGGAGGAAACACTGTGATCAGAGCCTGGAGAACGGGGAAAGAACAAGTTGGTCTTCTGATTTAAGCCTTATAAAGCCAATGAAAGCTTCATCCCTCAGATTCTGATGGTGCAGGACAGAGCCCTTTGGGATCTTTTCTGCCCCCCCCCATCCCGCTTTTCTGGCACAGCCAGGAAAGTTCCCTTTTAAAACCGCCTGCAGGCATGAAGCCACCTGGAAAGATGCCCGATGCCAGCCTGCATGGCATGAATGCCCCTCCCCCCATCCTCACTCCCCCAGACTAAGTCGAGCAAAGACAATACAAGCACGGGACACATTTGGAAAGGCTTGTGCACAGAAACGTCTCGCGGGTATTCCTCTTCTTGCTTGGCTTTGGCTTGGTGCTTTTCCATCTGGCATGTCCTGGATTCCTCTCTGCTCGCCCTCTCCCCTTCCCCACAGTTCTGGAATGACGCTTAGAATAACACAGCAGTCTACTAGACCATTTTCCCAGTAGAATAATATCCGTGTGTTTCTCCTGCATTGTTGGAAAGCCTAGCACGTCAGGGGACTGTGTATGTCAAAGATTTTATTAGGATGGAGAAGCGTTCTTTGTGAATGTAGGGAACAGCCTCATCTTGGAAAGAAATTGGGGAAAAGAATCTAAAAATGGAGATGGTCAAAGTAAGCATTGCTATGTGTTGGCAGGGGGGATTGAGAGACCAGGGTCTCCCCTCCGAGTAAGTAAGGAATCAGTGCTCCGTAAAACTCTGGAAAGGACAACGTAACTCCTGCAACGGGTATGCAGGATAAGGAGCCAAATTAGCCAAACGCTCGCCCATTAAGTCGGCCGGCGCTTTTCTAGGCACTGGCCAGAAGATCAGAGCGATTTTGCTGGATCAGACCAGGAGTCCAACATTCCATCTCCAAGAATGGCCAGAGCTTCTGAGAATGTCACAAGCACGGCATACTGATGACTACTCTGCCCTGTTCTGGATCCCCCCCCCCCAAAAAAAACCCAACTGGTATCCTGACCAGCTTTCCAAGTGGGGAGGGGCGATGCCATTCTGCCTACCTAAAACTCCCCCTGTGATTTCAATTGGGCCAGGGCACTCTTCTGCCACTGCCTGTCCTAAGCTCTTGGATGGTGCTGCCACGAGCCATCAAAAGAGACGCCTGCCACACTCCGCCTCTGAGGCAGCTGCGTTCTACTGCTGGGAGTGACCACATAAAAACAAACAGGGACATCATCCTAGAGTCACAGCTCCTGAAAGACAAAAACCAGCATTAAAAGAACCTCTGGGAGCGGAAATGTGAGCACAAGGGCAGGAGGAAAGGGCAGGGGCATGCCACTCACCGGATTTAATCGCTTGGCAGAAGTCTCAGGAGCAGCTCCTCCACTCCCATGATCTGTGAGAGACACAAAAGCAGTCAGGCCTTGGCTTTTACGCTGATGTACAGCAAAGGGAGGAGCCGTCGTTTCCATGCAGCCTTACTTGCAAATGGTGTTCAATATCCCAGATTCGAAAGTTGCTGTCCCTGTACTGCTGCCCCTCCGAGAGCTGCCACATGTGGGGCAGCCGGGATGCAGGCAGGCGGCTGGGGCGGACGGCCTCGCCCAGGGGGACCGGGACTCTTCGGATCCGGGCTTTCAGGGTGCCTGCCTCCTGTGGGAGAAGCCCAGAGCGAGCAACATGAGCGACCGCTTTCATGAAACAAAAAAGGCCAACGCTCTCCAAATAATCAAAAAGACGATTGCTAAGAATGTTCTTACTTGCCTCTTCGGGTGCCACCAGCCATGTTTTCTGGTTTTCATCGCAATAGACACCTATCCGTCGCACCCAGAGGCGGACGGGCGGGGCTCTGGCATCACCACCTTCCTCTCCTTCTGCCATGCCCCGATCGCTTGCTACGACGGCCCTCCCTCGGCTCCCATTCTACACATGGCCCCCTTTGCCTCTGAACAAAGACACGGAAGGAACGGTTAGTCCTGCAAAGAACCGGTGGAGGGGTTATGCAGTGTTCCCAAGTGCCGCGGGAAAGTCAGATTGAGGAGGGGAAAGTGATCACATGATGGTTCTCAAAAGGAAGTGCACCTGAAAGACACCTGGTGATTTGGGGAGAGGAACGGTGCTACACTAGAATGAGCTCTTGGTTCGGCCCACAAAAGGCCTGGTTTGGTGGCTGTCCCGTGTGATCGGCAGAAAGAGTCTGCAGGCTTGTGGAAAATAAGAGTCAGCGACTGACTGCCAGTGAGTCACATCCGACCTGCGCGACTCCAGCTGGCCCAGTCACTGAAGCCAATGTCATCTACTTGGCTTGCTTTCCAGACCCCTTTTCTGTTTCTCAGTTTGCTTCCCTTGTCCCGTTTTCCTATGCAACTAGGGTAGTGTCAGGGGCAAATTTCGCTCCCTTCCACAAAATTAGGAAATGCATACCACATACCACTGCCCGTTTTCCCATCTACTCTCGCTCAAAAGAGGCCACAGGGACTATATGGACGTTAGAATTGCCAATGTGCCCGAAGGAGGGACAGATTGGCTCACTTCCCACCCACCTGAAAAATGACATCACATTTGCTCCATTTCCCTACCCCAGTGGCAAGACAAAGGTGATAATTGTACTACTTTGCTTCTCATGACTGCCTGGGATCTGTGGTCATCTAATCCCTTGGGGTTCTTTTAAATTCAGATCTTTCCAATATGAATGGGAATTCACTGGAAACCAAGAAAATCTAGACCTGGGAAAGAAGAGCATCAGGAAAATGACATTTCATGCTTTTGGCATCCACAGATTCACTCAAAGCACAACAGAAAGTTGGGGGGAAAGCCGAAAATCTTTCTTCTGTAGTACAACTGGAGAGGCAAGAAAAGGCGTGGAAGGAAGAGAATGGTTTCAGGGAGCAAGACGTGCAAAGTCTTTCCAACAAACACCAAGAACAACACGTCCTTCCTAGCGATAAAGCAATTGGTTCCCAAACTGCCAGGAGGACAAAGCCAAGTTCACATGCCAACATCTGGGAATACAAAGATAAGGCAGAGGAAGGGGTGGACATGTGGTTAACTACTTTGGTGTGGATTCCAAAGACAAAAAAGCACACTTTGCTTCTGCAACGGCCTCGGGTTACTCCAGAAGCAGTAGGGAAATGGTCATGACTTTCTCAGGGGTAAGTCTAGCCAAGAAAAAAACCATGTTCCTCTAGTACAGTTCTGGCCTCTCCCTCTGGAATCAAATGGCTAAGCATCCCTTGTACTGTAGGGGGCCCAAACCAGAGGGATCAAGAATCAGCACACATCAGTGCTAGACAAGAGGCTTCCAAACAGGAAGCAGCGTTCAACTTGCAAGGATGTCATTTCCCCTCCCCAAGTTGGAATGCAGTCAAGACTCCAGCAGAGTCGGTGTGCTGGAGAGTATTCGGAAATCCACAGTTCCTTTCTGGCCACGAGGGTCCAAACCCCTTGCTTCAGCAGCAAACTCTCCTAGTAGCACACAGCCCCCCAATCCCATGGTGGGCTACAGCCAGGCCTGATCCCCCACGTCACACCTGGGCTTTCTTGAGAGGTGTCCTGTCCTGACAAGAAGAATTATAGCGCAAAACTTGTATATCGCAACGTCCCTCACAAATTCTATTAATATCACCAGCTTTGAAGTTCGCAAGTTTGTTCCAGACTGAATGTGGCTTAAAGGTCTGATAGGCTTCCTGTCGGCTCACAGGAAAGGAATTGTGGGCAGCCTCGTTTCGAAATGTACTACTGGTGTTCTTCAGCTCTGCATTCTCCATCGCTCCCTCTCATTCCAGCAGGGGATCTCTGTAACTGAAACGAAGCCTGCCAGTTCTAAAACGGGAAACAGTGGTCCATTTCCCGCTCTCCTTTGTCTGTCAAATGCCAACCGATATGGAAATAAGCAAAGAATGGTGAGCACACGGAAGCAGCGTATGAGACAGTGTTCCGAGGGAATGCCTCACCACTGGGTGAAAGCAATAACCACTGGGTCCAGATCAGGAGGCACCTTTATGACCTATGGCTTGGTCTGTCCTCTCATCTTTGCTCTAGGGCTCAGCTTTCTTCTGAAAACTCAGGCTATTCTTGCTATTGGTGCACCAGAGCCTAACCATGTTTGGCTTTGAGAGCTTTGGCAATTATTTTAAAACGGAAGCTGCTGAAAACATCTTTTTTTGCACAAAAAGCACTAGTGAGATAGGAGAGTATGAGGAGAACACAAAGAACGCAGTGAACTGCTCTGAAAATCTTGCCAGTCCAAAGGAGTTCAAAGCTCCTGTAAATTATAAATCATCTCAGTACAATTGCTCACTGAAAAGGAACAGCATAGAGAAAACTTTGTCCTTTTGATGATCCTTTCGATCACCCAGCCTCAAATGTGCCAAATTAAAGAGAGGGCCTTTTTGTCCCAATATCCTGACTTGTTAGACAAAAGAACCAGGAGGAGTTTTGTCACTGAGAGGCTGTTAAAATTCCCTTACAATTTTGGAGACCTGAGACAAAAAAGGCCTGTTTGGAAGCATAGGTTGGGAAGGATATGGGGATCCTTGCTGAGTTTAAGTTCTTTGAACTGAATGTTCCATCTTCTTGGTGCATTTGTCAGCAGTCAGAATGAAGGCCCATGTCCCTGGAGAATGGGCTATCCAATAACATCCTACATAATTCTACTGAGGTGGTCTGTTAAGGCACAGGAGCCCTAACAGGCAGAACTGAGAAATTTTTTTCCCACCCCACAGCTTCATTCTGTGAGAGGCTTCACCTGCTGAGTTTCTGTTAGCTATGCAACCGTTAAAGACCATTAAAGACAGCGCCTTTGCAAAGGCAAACAGCAGCCTGGCTGATTCAGGCACAGAGAGGACATCTTTTCCTGGGTCCTTCTCCAATTCTCTGCTCTTCAGGTTGTCAGCTCCTGTTTAGGCTCATCCTTCCCCACCCCTTACAGAAAGACTGGGTGCTCAACAGCAATGTGCCAGGAAGAAATTCAACAGGTGAAACATTTCCTAACAGCGAGGGGAGAAGCTGTGTCTTATTGAACGCCTGCCTGATACGCAGCAGAGAGGAGCCTAGCCAGGAAACGGGAGGAAATCCACCACCACCATCACCACCGCCACCCCATTAGCGCTCGCCAGATGGCCCTTGACCCTCTTTCCCCCACGCCCGTGGGAAAGTCGCCATAGTAGCAGGCGAGCCCCACTCCCCACTACGAGAGCTAAAGAGCAGCCCCCCTTTCCACCCACAGGAGAGACCCTTCCCATCCGAGCCACGCCCCCTACCCCGTCTGAGTTAATAGCCCAGCGCTGATGGGACGCAAAGGGGGAGCCCTCCGGCACTTTCCCCAACGAGTCCGTCTCCCCTCCCACCCTCAAGCTGGGCTCACAGAGCTCCTCTGAACCCACCCGCCCCCGGGCGGAACCGACCTGGCCCAGCGGCGCTAGCGGAACCCAGGAACACTTCAGTTGGGGGTTGGCCGGACACTTCCGGGAACGGACCGGAAGTCGCCGTTGTCCAGGAGACGCAGACCTAGGAGGAAGGCTGGGGGCTCGGGCGGAAGAGCAGGGGTTGCGCTTAAAGCCGGCGATAAACGGGGGCGCTTCCCTCCGTCCACCGGCATCTCTCTCCCCCTTCGCCTCCTGGACGGTGCAGCGGACCGAGATGGCGGTGCAGGCCGCTCACTTGGAGGCGGACGCCTTCTTGGTGTGCCTGAACCACGCGCTGAGTACCGAGAAGGAAGAAGTGATGGGGCTGTGTATTGGAGAGGTAGGAGGGACGAGGAAGTGAAGGTGACAGAGAGGAGCCTCCGGAAGACTGAGAGAGCTGCTTCTCCCTTCTTTACAGCCCCGCTGAGTTCAGTGGGCCTTGCTCCCGAGTAATCGATTCTGGCCTTAGAGGCTTCTTTCCCCTGTTGTGACGGGGGTGGAAGTGGCCTTAGAACTAAGCGTTGCTCAGATGCTTGCCATTTCACTGCCCACATGAGCTTCTCCCTTCTTTACAGCCCCGCTGAGTTCAGTGGGCCTTGCTCCCGAGTAATCGATTCTGGCCTTAGAGGCTTCTTTCCCCTGTTGTGACGGGGGTGGAAGTGGCCTTAGAACTAAGCGTTGCTCAGATGCTTGCCATTTCACTGCCCACATGGCTCTTTTTTTTGCAGCACCGCTTCAGCCGGGCTCAGCTGCTTTTGTGTGCTAATTTCCCCTCCAATGTGTCGCAAACAAAACCAGGGACATGATTGATACTGTAATTCTCCCAGTCTGGGTCACTGCTTAAGCTTCAGACCCATCCCCTGTTATTGCATCTTGCCGAAATTTCCATTCTACATTCTGTATTTGTTTACTCTGCAGTATAATTGACTGGAAGGTCACAAACAATGCTTATTCTTTTGCTTAAAGGTATTCGGGGGGG